ACTTCACATTTATTTTATTACACCCTTCCTACAAGGCTACATGTCCCAGCTAGTATCTTTTAAAACTCGCGTTTATGTGTATGCATATCACAGAACCATCTCACTTAATCACCCCCATGCAAGGACTTAGTCGACTGTGAAAATTAAGCCCACACTGCAGTCATAAAAAAGCACATTGTCCATGAATCAAAGAAAACAATCCCACCACCACCCAAATCATATGAAAGACATTTGCCTTAGGCTGGAACAAACCTCTGTTTCCTCATTTCCCATCATGTGTGTCTCTCTCCTATTCCTTAAGGAATGATAGACATAAACCATTTTTTCTTGAGTTTCATCCTTCAAAAAAAGTGTTAAGTCATCAGTAACAAAACATTGAGAACTTCTATACTATAAGTAGGGTTTTGCAACAGGTCAGTACCAAGAAGATTCTTAAAGGCTTGGTGCTTAAGAGAAATTTATTGAATACTGTAAAGAATCCTTTTGGCAGAGTTATGATGTGTGTATGTGTACATACACAATATGGAATGTATATTTTCATTATTACAGTCCTCACAGGTTGCTATTTGTATGTAACATGTAACAGGCATTCTTAAGTCACTTTTTTAAAAAAAGAAAAAGCAGCTAGAGTTGTACCTGGTAAAGCATATTTAGGAAGAACTTGATTTACTGAAAAAAGCAACATTTACATATCAACTTATCAATGAAACACTCCATTTTCTTCATTGACTCTTTCTGCATCAAATTTTTTTTTTACATTCCTATGTATGCATAAGTTGATAATTTATGAACACCAAGTAGTGAATATTAAGTAAATACCAGCTGTGCGATCTATAAAAACTTCCATTACAATTACATTAGCGTCCCAGATGGTCTCTACTGCCTTTCACTCTCCATAATCCACAACAGAGTTTATCATTTCTTCCCAAACCTTTGTTATTTCCTGTCACCTCTTAGATAAAGGTCAAACACCTTGGCCTGACATACGTCCCAAACTGGTTATCAGAATAACTAGGAAATTAAAAAAAAAAAGGAATGTGAGAATGTACTTTTGAAGGGTTTTGTGTATGTGTGTGTATATAATCAGTCCTCTCTAGGTCTGGTCCTGATGCTGGAATAATAATCTAGTTATGCAGACATCTAGGTGCCCCTGACTCTCATCCCCCTCATCATCTATAGGGTACCTCCTGAGAAAGCTGGTTAGGAGGAATGGGGTGAAACCACAAGGCATGGGTAGTTTACCTAAAGTCCTTAGGATTGTACAGGGAGCTTTATAAAAGTACAAATGCAGAGGCTCCAACATTAAGATGAAACCCAAGAGTGTATTATCATAAAACGCTTTCCAGTTGTTCCTATAATCACTTAGCCAGGTTTGAGAACACTAGGTTGGGCAGAAAGGTTACAGAATTTTGTTCTCCATGGTCTAAACGTTAGAGATTTTTTAAGAAGAAACATCAACACAACCACATTAAATGATCAATTCGCAGCAGTGTACAGGGTTGGAGAGGGCTAAGGTGGGGAGACTCATGAACAGGGTCTGTAGTTTTCCAAGCAAAACGCAACATGGCCAAATTTGGATGGGAAACAAAGACTAGACATTAATTACTACATAAGAGGAATGAAGGATATTGTGGGGATGAGGGAAAGCCCTCAAATGCCCAGCAGGGAGGAAAATTTGGAACTGGAACAGTGAAAGAGATTTGGCCATTAGCTGATCTGAAGTGATGGCATGAACCCATTGGAATAAATAGATTCCTAAAGGAGAAGGACAGGGACCATTTATTAGTCTTATAACCTGAGGCTTGTGATGTAAATACCCTGAGAAGAAAGGAAGCCCCTTCCCCTTTGAATACTTACAGACCGATCCTGAGCTAGCCCTACTGTGAGGATGATGTGCTCTTTAAACTGAAATCTCACTGTGCTGTCCAACCGTGGTAACATTCCACCTAGAAGAAACCCAAAGAGAAAAAGCCATCCTTTAAGAAAGGAAACCAGAAGGTTCAAACTTGTTTTCAGGTGCAACTATAAGAAACACACTCACAGTTTCCAACCGAATCAAAACATGAGGTGCCCTCTCCAACTCAAGTATTCACCTACCCCAGCATTTATAGTGGCATTAAAAGTATAGTTTATATTCTTATGGAGTTTATATCCTTAGATCCTCATTCTTACAGTGAAGACAGACACACAGATAAGTAACAAGTTGATAAGTATACTAAATAGATATAAACAATACCATGGAAGCAAGATAGCTGTCACAAAACAGAACCACAGTGTCTTCTGCACAGAACACTCACTTCTCCAATTTCTACCCTCTACCCACTTCTTTTTCTACCTGTGGACTCTGAGGAAGGACTACCTGTGTTCAAGTTCCACCACCCCACCAATTACTAGTTCCATCACCCTGGCAAATTATTCAGGTCAAGCATAGTGTCATATAAAAAGCCATCTACCTAGCCAGAGCAATAAGACAAGAAAAAGAAATAAAAGGTATCCAGATTGGAAAACAAGAAGTAAAATTATCTCTATT